GTACAGTTTTAGTGCCCATATTTAAGAAAGGATATGCTGGCATTGTTGACAGTTCAAAAGATATTCACTTGGCGAATTCCTGGGATGAAGGTGGTGACTTCTCAAAAATGGCAGAACAGCTTTCTTTAAATTATTCATTCACAGGATGTAGGCATTGCTGGCTGGGCCAGCATTTATTACCCAGAGGGCAATTAAGAGTCAACCACCTAGCTGTGGGTCTGGAGTCACATGTAGGCCAGACCAGGTGAAGCTGGCAGTTTCCTTCCCTAGAGAGCATTTGTAAACCAAATGGGTTTTTTTGACAATCAGCAATTGTATCATGGTTATCATTCAACTCTTAATTCCAGATGTTTTATTAAATTCAAATTCCAACATCTGTCAATGGCAGGATTTGAACCTGGGTCCCTGCAACATTACCTGAATCTCTGCATTAACAGCCCAGTGATAATACCACAGGCCACAGGCTTCCCTTTAGATTAGGCCTTTGTTCTTTAGAGCATAGAAGTTTAGGGGTGATCTTACTGAAACATACAAGATTCTCAGATTTAACAGTAGCCTTGAGATGCAGTCTGGATGATCCCTTGAAGCAATAAGACCGTAAAACATAACAGCAGAAATAGACCATTCAGCCCATCGAGACTGCTCCACCATTCAGAGGCTCAGTGGTAGGGACACTGCCTTTTGTTTTATCCTAGGCTGCTTATGTATGATCCTCCTGAGCGGTTAACTTTCGATTCCTGAAGACTCCAGGACAATCCTGGACGGTTGGCAACCCCATGCCAATACTCCTTGTTTTAGTTTCAACATTCCAGAAAAAATATTGCTGCATTAGGTAGTGGTTCTGAATAAAATTCATTTTACATTAACTCATTACAGTGTACGGGAGGAACCATCAGTTCTATTCTCGCTTTCAGAGGGAACAGGTATATCTATAACAGCTTCTTAAGGTCCTAGGAATTATGCCTTACCCAGTGTAGTTGTACTTATTGCAATCATACAATAAACCTTTCTGTTGTCGAGAAACAGTGCCTCCCTTCTGTAGATACTCTATGGTGATGTATCCTCTACCACTAACCACCGGATACGCTCAAGACAAGGCAATGACAAAGGAGGATTGGTGTCAGCAAACTACCCCAAATTACTCTTACCCAGTACCACAAACTGGTTGAGGTGGCAAATACCACACAGTACCAGGAGTGGTCATCCAGGAAAGTGCAGTACTACAAGTATTGGATGGCTGGATTGCTGCAAAAGGTAGGTAATCACAGAATTGGTACAGACTGATTTCCTCGTGCCTGGCAGGACCATTGGCTACATCCTGCAGTCTCACTGCTGTTAATCATTTTTTGATCCTAACCTATCAGCCTGATCTTCAGGGCTGTTATTCTGGCTTCATTTCACAGCATATATTGCCTTGTTCATTAAACTGAGCAGCAGGTAATGGCAGAATGCCATCTAATAAATAAATCTTACACTGTTCCATTTTTACTTAACGGCTGAATTATAGGAAAATAGGACTTGGGCATAAGAGTCCCGATTCGATGAGATGGTGCTTGATTTGATTGCGGCCTCAACTCCTTTTTCCTATCTGGCTCAATAATCCTTGACCCCTTTGATTAGTCAGAATCTATCTAATCTGAATAAAATACAGGGACATCATTCTGTGAACCATTCTGATTCATTCCTTTTCATATTGTTGGTGTCAAAGCACTGAAGGATGCAGTCTGTTGCTGTTCCAGCTTTTAGTTATTGCTCAAGGAATAAATGCATAAAATGAAACACAAGATTCATTATCAGAAACAGCACTATTTTTTCTGTGGGATTTAATATTCATTAACTGTGTCACTTAGTATGAGGCATTGCACACAGCAATTATCCATCATAATCCACATCTCTTGATAGATTGTAATAACTTTGTTTGTCTGATTATTGCAATGCCGGTCTGGAAATGTTTTGTGACCAACCACAGCTGCCAGGTTAGTTAATCCCACTTGCCACGTGCTATAAATTTCATTCCTCATTATTCACAGTTTAGTCTGCATTGTTTTGTAATGAAGGGCGTGTTATGCAATTAAGAGACATTATAACATAACTAAGCTAACAGTCATGGCTCATTGTGGCAACTTTCTCTTAGTCAGAAGGCTGTGGGTTGTTATCCTAAGTCCCAGAGACCTGAACCACATAATCAAGACAGATGTAGAGTCAAGACTGGGGGCTTCCAGGTAAGATGCCATATCTTGGTGTCACGGTCAATATTTATCCCTCAAATAAATTCAGTAACACACATAACCTGGACGCTATTACTATGTTGTTTGTAGGAATTTGCTGAGATTGTGACATCTCCACATTAGGTGTACTTCAGTAATAATTCAAAGGCTGTAAATGTTCTATGGTGCATCCTGAAAGTAATATGAAACATTAACTATTCAAATAAAATTAAAATATTTATAAGAAGCATTCAGTTCACAGCCTTTTATTCCCCAACTGTTATGTGTTTCTTTCAATGTCATACTTGCTGTCTTTCTGTTTCTCTTATTTTAGTGTCATTGAATCACACAGCATGGAAACAGGCCCTTTCATCCAAGTAGTCCATGCCAACCATGTTCCCAAACCAAACTCGCTTGCCTGCGTTTGGCTCATATCCCTCCAAACCTTTTCTTATCATGTACCTAAACGGAATAATAGAGCATGAGGTTTGCTCACAGTACAGCATATTCTGAGAGTAGATATGAAGTAGTGTGAAGTGGGTGCATAAGATTATGATGTAGACTTTAAATGGGGAACAGATTAGAGAAAGTGAATGAAGTGACTTAAGCCAACACATGAAGGATAATCGTCATGCGACACTTACAGAAGTGACAATTGATCTTCCCCACCCGGGAAAGGCACCCACTGGATGAAGACAAGGCAGGTAGCTAGATAAATGAATGAATATCATAGAATCCCAAAAATTGTGGAACCAGGCCATTTGGCCCATTGAGTCCACACCAACAGTCCGAAGAGCGTCCCACTGCTATTCCTGTATAACCCTGCACTTCCCATGGCTAACCCACCTAGCCTGCACATCCCTGGACACTGTGGTCAATTTAGCATGGCCAATCCACATAACTTGCACATCTTTGGACCATGGGAGGAAACTGGAGCACCTGGTGGAAACCCACGCAAACACGGGAGAATGACTGTGTGGGGTTTGCACATTCTCCTGAGCGTGGATCGAACTCAGGTCTCTAGCACAGTGAGGCAGCATCGCTAACAACTGAGCCACACTAAAGTGAATGCTGCCTCAGGTTGCAATAGAACCAACCTTTCCATGAACAGTCTGCAACATTAAAACTATTTGCCCATCAACTTCATACTCTATTTGTGGTGTATGGTACAAATTCAACACATTCATTTTACAGTATTGCAGATGTGTGGCCTATCTGAAGACAGGACGGATGATGCAGAAACCTGATTTTAATTTCATGTTTAAACGCAATAGCCTAAACTGACCAACATGCTGTAATATTGGACATGATTTTACATTTCTTTAAGAACTAATCACTCATCGATAGTTAGTCATTGATGGATGGTTTCCATGAGAGAAGTGTGTGAGTCAATGACTAACCAAGTTAGAGTGAAGTTCCCACTCATTCCCAACTGTTCATTAAACCAATCAGCACTGGACAAGTATCTACTTAGCTTGTTGCCATTGTAGATCTTAATCCCCAGCAGGTTACATAAATTAAACTTTCCAAATTATCGCTGTTTCTTAAAGGATCTTGTGGTTCAGTGGTAGGACACCTGGATTCAAGTTTCACCTGACCACGCTGTGTAATAACATTTCTGAACCGGTTGATTTGAAAAAAATATACGTCTCTGTTTCTCCTCTTGCTTACTGTTAGGGCAAAGAGACTGGCAAAAGAGCATGCGAGTTCCCCAGTCTGAATGTACGCCAAATCTGTGTTTCACAAAATTCACTGTACCTCTGTAAGTGTAATGCCGCTGAGAAATGTGGTCCCCAGTCTGAATGAACGCAAAATCTGTGTTTCACAAAATTCACTCTACCTCTGTAGGTGTAATGCCGCTGAGAAATGTGGTCCCCCCAGTCTCAATGTACGCAAGATCTGTGTTTCACAAAATTCACTCTACCTCTGTAGGTGTAATGCCGCTGAGAAATGTGGTTGTTGCGAAGTGGACATAGCGGTGTGGTCTTATGAAATAAAGCCCTAATCTCTCTGCCCGATATCCACACTACACAGGCTCAATGCCACACCGTCAGTGTACCAAATGTTGTGGTCTTGCCAGCAATTACCAGGAACAAAGCATTTTCTGAAGACAAAGACTCTGGCACAGGGCTGCAAGACCCTGCCCTGGGACACCACAGCACTAATTTGCCTTCATGAGACCTGCTTATGACCACTTTGAGAAGAGTAGACTGAAACATAGACAATGGTGACAAGAAATAAATTGCTTGAAGGAATATTAGGCTGAGACTTGAATTCAGATCATACAGATTTTGATGTGTAAATGAGTCAAGTGGGACAGGCAGGGAACTGCAGTTTAAAGCTACAATCAGTTTAGTCATGAGCTTGTTGAAAGGGGTAGCAACCTTGAGGGGCTGAATGGCATACTCCAGCTACTGTTTCTTATGATAGTTCCATAGATCATAAAATTATGGATCCAACAAAGATGAGTTTAAAAACAAGCAGCACAGGAAAACAAGATTCCATATGCACTAATATAAAACACAGAACTGTGGATGCTGGGAATCTGAAACAGAAATTGCCAAGTCTGGTGGAAAGCAGAGTTAATGTTTCAAATACAGTGACCCTTCTTGGGTTAAGAAGCCAAAGAGGGTCACTGAACTCAAAATGTTAACTGTGCTTTCTCTCCACAAATGCTGCCAGCCCTGTTGAGTCTCTCCAGCAATTGCCGTTTCTGTTCCAAAATGTGCCTCCTGCATCATATATTCAACAATTGGTATCCTTTTACTTCACAGAATAAAACAGCAATATAACCAGGTTTCAAATATGTCTTTAATTATGCAATAAATTTAATACTGTTCTGGCAAAAATAAAACATAGTGTTGTGAAGCCACAAGAATGGCATTGAAGAATTTTCCTGACTCAAAGGGCCTCAATCTGCCCCTTATAATTCATGTATAAATGATTTTTAAATATAGGCCTTCATTGTGACTACCCTGAATAATTATATAAATATTACTGTGAAACTATCATTAAAATTTTTTCATTAAACATAATTCCACAAACTGCATCACCTGTGAAAGGTGTTGGATAATGTTATTTACCACGCAGATAAATCCAGTAGGAACATTCTCTAAGGCAGATGACAATATCCATACATATTCATTTTGATGTATATGTTGATTCAATACAGTTGTAATTTGTAGGTATTAGCATACCTTGTAATGGTCTTTTCAACTCTTTTCTAATATTTGTTGCTATGTCTCTTGGATCATCATTGTAGTAGTTGCTGATGCAGTTCCAAAAGAGACAATATTTGTCCAGTACATGTGCTTCCTTTCTACCATTCACATTTACAGGCGAATGTAAATGTGTAACCTTCTCTACCCAGCATCAGCCACACATTAACATTTCCAGCTCAGGGCTACTGTGTCGTATCAGGAACTGGTAACCCTAGCTAATTCTTTTCTCTCTTTCCAATCCCCACCACCCACCTCCATCACGTTCTCCCTACCTTTCCGAGTCTAAGCACAATAAACCAATTCATCTCAGACCAGAGGATAAACCCTGTTTCACACATTGAGTCATTGAGATGTTTCACAATTCTTATTCCTTATATTAGTTACGCTAATCACACCCATCGATAAAAGTCTGCAAAGTTAAGACATGTTGTCCCAATCTCCAACAACGTTGAGAGGTAAATATGTGTGGTTGAATTTTAGTTGGATTTTGAGTGAATGTTATGGGAATATTTGCAACATAAGTTAGAGAAAGCAGTCCGTGCCAATCCAGGAACTTTCTACAGGTCACAAGAGGGAATGCGGGAAGATGGTAGACTGCTTAGATCAGAGTTCTGCAGTAGTCGGAAATAGAACTTCACAATTTCTTCATAGTTCTTTACTGATATTCTTTCATTCACGCCATGTACCCTAAAGAGATAGAGAGATGAAGAAAAAAAGTGCTAATTTAAAGAATTATCCATTGCTTGTGAGCATGACTGTATAAGTTATTGTGTAAGGGCCACTCAGCTCCTGACTTCATTACATGGGATCAAGGAACCTTGCCAAAACTTGAGTCAATGGGAATCAAGGAGAAATCTCTCCATTGGCTGGAGTCATACCTGGCCCAAAGGAAGGTAGTTGTGTTTGTTGGGGGCCAATCATTTCAGCTCCAGGATCTTTCTGCAGGAGTTCCTCAGGGGAGTGTAGTAGATCCAACCATTTTTAGCTGTTTTATCAATGACCTTCCCTCCATCATAAGGACCACAGATGTTTGCTGATGACTGCATAATATTCACTACCATTTGTGACACCTCAGATACTGAAGCAGTCCATGCTCATAAAGCAGCAAGAGCTGGACAATATTCAGGTTCGGTTCAGTAAGTGATAAATTCATGATACACAAGGACTTAGAAATGATAATCTTAAAGATAAGACAATCAAATCACTGCCTCTTGATATTCAATGGTGTCACCATCACTGAATCTCTCGCTGTCAACATCCTATTACCACTGACTAAAAACTGAACTGGACTCACCATTTAAATACAGTGGCTGCCAGATCAGCCTCAAGGACGCCAATTCGGAATAACTATCCAGGGCCCCTGCTCTGGATCACCGAGTGTTGATCCCTGTTTAAACTCAGTCTGGATGGACATTGGGTGCGTAGATGTCCAACAGGTCAAATAGTCCATTGAAAACACAAGTGGCTCATTCATTTGTTTAGTACCTGTGGATCATAGCTCAGCAAAATAAAAACAAAACTGCTTCAAGAAGGGAAAGGGGATGAACATGGCAGGGAAATGTATTTAATGTCACTGGGCTCAAGAACCAAAAATGTGAGAGTGGTATTTTAAACCCTTCAAATAATAAGAATGACACAGCTGGTGTGCTAAGGTGAGCTAAGATAGCACATAACAAGTTAAGGTGGCAGGCTAGAAAGACCAACAATCTGCTTCTGAATCAGACTCCCTAATGTCTTTCCATCATCTCCAATAACATGCCAGAAGCTCAACACCAACCAGGACACAGCAACCTGTTTAACTGGCACTGTATTCACTGCCTTAAACATTCATGCCATTCACTACTAATGCACAGTGGCAGCAACGTGTACCATCTACAAGATGCACTGCAGCAACTCAACAAGGCTCCTTAGACAATACCCTCCAATCACATGGTCTCTACCACATATAAAGACAAGGGCAGCAGGTACAGGGGAATATCATCACCTGCAAGTTTCCTTCCAAGCTACACGCCACCTTGACTTGAAAATTTATCGCTATTTCTTCATTGTTGCTGGGTCAAAATCCTGGAACTTCTTCCCTCATAGCACTGTGGGTGTACCTCCACTAAACAGACTGCAGCAGTTCAAGAAAGCAGCTCACCACTACCTTCCCAAGGCCAGTTAGGGGTGGGCAATAAATGCTGGCCCAGCCAGCAACACTCATATCCATGAATGAATAAAAATAGTGCATTTAGATATAAACAACCAATTGGAAATATCGAGATAGTTAAGTATTGAGCAAGAATAGAAAGTCACTGGAGAACTCAAGGTTTTAAAGTGCAGTTGCATGGAAGCAGTAGAAAGAGTTCATAATGTTGTACAGAAAGTCCTTGGAAAGAAAGCACACTATACATCAAATCAATCTGTCCTGTACCCTTGTACAAAGTTAGCAAATTATTCACTGCTGTAATTATAATGAATCAGGGCTAACAGTGTATTGATTATTCTCAGAGTGACCAAACCACTTGCTGGGCTATCACATTTACTGTACCAGCCTTCTTCAATATAAGGCAATGACCAAGAATTACTAGCTAGACTTGGAGCTCTAAAACAGAAGGGTTGAAAGTTGATTACTATCGTTGAGATGACTTCTTACCGAGTTACGTCTTCTTGCTTCAATATCATTGGAATAAATCTGTAGAGTTCCTTGGTCAGTTTCTGGTAGTGCCTGGTATCTGTATTTGCAATGCACAAACCTAATAGAAGTTAAGAAAATAATTAGCAAGTACCAGGCTGTGTTTCTCTTAAGATTCTTGGCCTTCACTGTTTGAACAACAAAAAATTAACATCACTTCTGCACTGGACATTGATTCTTACCCATTTGTTAAAAGTAAGCCACATTTGAAAATTTCAGTACTTTTTTTTAAGTAAGGTGATCAACCAGATATATTAATGCTGTGTGCTAGATAGACTACTAACTTCCATTGATCTTTCCAATCTACTTTGCCAGGAGATTGATGGATCTCCAGAAAACCAGTGTTCATGGCCAAAAGACCCCTTATCTCAAAAAGGTTTCCACCACATGACTGTCAAAGATTAGACAAACCTTGTGGAAATCCATAATCGTGAACTGTATGTGTATTTTCACAAACACTCAATTTGATATCATGCCAGAAACTGGTTAAAAAAATCCAACACTGTCATGAGAGAATGTGCAGCAGCATAAATAGAAAATGGTTGACAGAGGGAAAGAGTTAGTGTGAAGCTTGAGTTAGACTATGACTGGGTATGGCATATCCTAAGGTTCTGTGCTACTCATGGTATGCACAGATGATCCCATCTTGCTCATAATGATGGTACAAAGGCAGTGGAAAGGACTGTCAAAGATTTCAGGAAGACATTTGGGCTGGTTGGTAGCCAGATGGTAGATGCAACTGAACGTGGATGAATGTAATGTAACATATTTTAGGATGATAAACGAGGACAGGAAACCCTTGCAGTGTGTTGTTCACTTAAAAGTAGAAAAGTATTTGCATTTGTTGGGTGTTTTGCTGAAGAATAAGGGGGAAATAATTGGCACCGAGCCCCATGAGTGTATGTTTGTAGAGTTGATCAAAAATGTCGTCAAAGAAATTAGTTGTATGGACAGCTTTGAAGAAGGAAAGGGATGGGAAGACATTCAGGGAGGAGTTCCAGAATCTGAAGATTTGTCCTTAAAAATATCTGGTGAGACTTTGATTACATTTAAGGCAGAAGGAAAAAGATTTTTGATGAACAAAAGGGTAAAAGGTTATCAAGGCTAAGGCGAAGTGTGGAAATCAGGTCAGCTATGATCTTATTGAATGGCAATGCAGGCTCAAATGGCCTAATCCTGTCCCTAATTCATAGGTCTTGATTTGATTTGAACTGATTTGATTTATTGTCACGTGTACCAAAGTACAGTGAAAAGCTTTGTTTACAAGTGGTACAGGCAGATCGTAGTAAGTCAGGACATACAAATCATAGGGTGAAAAAAACTTGCACAGAGTAAGGCATACAGGTTAGACTACACAGGATGTGCGTGAAGCAAGATCACCACAAACAAGATCAACATTATTTGAAATTAGACAGTTCATCCATCAGTCTAATAACAGCAGGGAAGAAGCTGTTCTTGAACCTGTTGGTACGTGTGTTCAAGCTTCTGTATCTTCTGCCCAATGGAAGAGGTTGCAGGAGAGCATTACCGTGGTGGGATGGGTTTTTGATGATGTTGACAGCCTTTCCTTGGCAACGAGATGTGTAAATGGACTCCACGGATCAGAGGTTGGCGTTGGCTTCTGTGATGGTCTGGGCTGTGCACACAACCTTCTGTAGTTTCTTACGGTCCTGGGCAGTGCAGTTGCCGTACCAGGCTGTTATGCACCTGGACAGTATGCTTTCTGTGGTGCATCTGTAAAAGTTGGTGAGAGTCCTTATGGACATGCCGAATTTCCTAAGCCGCCTGCGAAAGAAGAGGCATTGTTGTGCCTTCTTGACCGTCACCTTTTGTATGTACGTGGCCACCAATGAGGTGAATGTATTGGAGACTTAGAAATCCCGACAGTGAAGATAGAGACCATCTCGTCAATCAAGTATACACTGACGCTCCAAACAGCATCCCACCCAGACCCACACACATCCACCATCGCTAATCCACCTAAGCCTACACATCCCTGGACACTACGAGGAAATTTAGCATGGCCAATCCACCTACCTGCACATCTTTGGATTATGGGAGGAAACCGGCGCACCCGAAGAAAACTCATGCCGACACAGAGAGAACGTGCAAACTCCACACAGACAGCCGCCTGAGGGTGGAATAAAACCTGGGTCCCTGGTGCTGTGAGGCAGCAGTGCTAACCACTGAGCCACTGTGCCACCTGCCTGACTTAAGGTTGAGGAATTAGGGAGAGTTCAAGAGGAGTTGCATTGAGCTTGTTAACCTCTGGCAAACCGACAAATATTTTGTCACAGAGGCTCACATAGACTTAGCTCCAGTTTTTTCCAGACCAGTTTGATGTTTTGATCAAACTGGGCCTCAGGTATCGTTCTGCCGTTTTTTACACTTGCTGGTAATTTGTGAGCTACATTTCCACAATAATGAAAGACTATGATGCATCAAACCAGACTTTAAAGGTAATTGAGTCACAAATCCTGATGGCAGTCCATCATGAAATTTCGAGGATTTCTGGATGTTTTATCAGGAGATGGAGAAGCTGCAGGACAATCTCTCTCTGTGTGATTCCAGACATTATAATTACTTTAATCTAAATGTGGTGGTAAACATTGAGTTCAGGAATTTCTTTTACCTGGAGCAACAGCTACTTCAGGGAAAATGTTTTGAATGGTCCCTTTGATAACTTGATAGCCGAATGAAGTATCATCGTAAGAACTCATTGGGAGCGAGGGATAGTGCTGCAGAACTTCAATCTTCACTCGTTCATCAGAAATAATATGCTGAATTTGCTGGAGAAGCTGGAAAGAAAATATATTTAATGTATATTAACTGATGGAGCTCTCTGCTTCAGAAGGTGAAGGGAATGGGGTCATTTTTAAGACAGAGGTAGATAGATTTTTGTTAAACTAGAGAGTCAAAAGGTTATCGAAGTTAGATGGGAATGTGGAATTTGAAACACAAACATAGCAGCATGACCTTATTATTGAATCCCTGTTGCATTGTGATACCTCATTCAATGGTGTGTTCTCTTTTCTGTGTGTAAGCCTGACCAGCAAATATCAGTAAGACCATATAGGGGAGGATGCATTACAACTGAGACTGATCAATTGGAATTAATGGATGTCGATCATAACGGGAACCAATCTGCAGATTGGAAGGTCCTATAGGGAATAATGATGACTGCCTAGTTCCTACATTTTGGTGATTATTGGTTGAGGGATAAATGTTGGCTAAGACAATGGGGGAACTCTTCTGCTCTTCAAATAGTGGCACACATTCACAATCAGAAAGTTGGAAGGGACACAGTTTAATGTTCCATCCAGAAACAGTACCTCTGACTGTGCAGCACGTCTTCACTTTGACACCACAGTGTTAGTCTTGGCTTGACACTCATGCACATGGAGGGAATTTTTAACCCACAACCTTCTGAATCAGAGGCAAATGGGCCATCACTGAGTCAAGTTAACATGTGGGTGGATACATGGCTGCAATGGAAAAATGTTACCATTCATTCATTTGTTTTTTGATGCTCTGTAGATGACAGTGAACCACATCCACAAAGAGACACCAGGGTCTATAAGGAAACCATTACTGCAGAACATTACAAAATGGGAGTTGAATTCTCCTGAGAGTCTCCATAAGACCTAGGAGCGGAAGTAGACATTCAGCCCATTGAGTCAGCTCTACCATTCACTGAGATCATAGCTGATTTGATAGTCCTCAGCTCCACTTTCCTGTCTTTTCTCCACAACCTTTAATTCCCTTACTGATAAAACTATAAGAAAAAAGGCTTAACGTATTGGAATCAGGAGCAAATCAATTTAACCCCTCAAGCCTACTCCACACCATCACCCCAGGTGGGACTTGAACCCATAATCCCTGGCTTTGGAGGTCAGAGTTCTAGTGGCAGCCAACCCCTAACCCTAGACCGTACACAATTCTGGCCAAATGTTGGTGAAAGGATTTTGAGAAAATTCACCAAAGAACACTGCAAGATTATTTCCAAAGATATAGGATGTGTGTGTTAACATCAGTTACAGTTAGTAAGAATTGCTTCCAAATAAAATAAGGAGTCGTTGGATCTTAATCACGTCATCGGAAGGAGACTTAAATCAAATGCCCACACACACTGTGAAGCAGAGGGTGAATTTGGAGAAGGTGGCGATGCGTTAAGTAGCAGCTTGGATGCACCATGTCCAATTAAGAACAGTGGGCAGGCTCCAGAGGCTTGAAGGTCAATAGGTGGTCCTCCTGCACTCAGGGGTTGGCCGCCCCATCGTCAGAGATGGAACTGCTGAGGTAGGTAGGAGAAAGAGGTGTCTCATGATGGAGGTGCTCTCTGAAGTGATTTCACAAACGTGTTGGCCAGGCCATCATCATAGATTGATGGCAATGGTGGATGTGTGGTCGTGACAAGTGCAGGGAGTGAGCAGTGTTCTGTAGTGCCGCCCCTCCTTCCAAGATCTGCCGACTCCATCCACTGGCTGTATTTCAACTGTAGTGGGTAAAATTCCAAATGGTGTGTTCAGGGTGGTCTTGCGGCTGCACGATGGCTCAGTGGTTAGACCTGCTGCCTCACAGCACCCGAGACCAGGGTTCAATTCCACCCTCGGGTGGCTGTGTGGAGTTTGTATGTTCTCCCTGTGTCTGAGCGGGTTTCCCAAGATGCACAGGTTAGGTGGATTGGCCATGGGAAACGTGAGGTTATAGGGTAGGGTGAAATGCTGTTCAGAGGGTTGGTGTGGAGTTGATGGGCCAAATGGCCTGGTTGCATACTGTAGAGATTCTATGCTTAATAAATCCTTTTCTTTGTTGGCTTTCTATTGCATCCAAGCAGATAGCTGTTATACCCACCTCCCTCAACACATTCCTACATCTCCCCTGATCTTGGCTCGACATAGGCAGAACCAGAACTGGACACCAGCACATAGGTCAGTGATATTTCATCACCAGCCAATCTGGCTCCAAGATCTTTTACTAATCAACCTGTTCAGAGATGTTAAGACATGCCTCTGGAGCAGGTGGGATTTGAATCGGGGCTCCTAGCTGAGAATTAGCGGTGCTACCCCTGTGCCACAAGAGTCCCTCAATCTGCTGTTAGTTCCACCTCTGCAACCAGATGATAATTAAGACTGGAGTTTGCGTTTAGAATCATTCCCAATTCATATTCCGAATACCTGATCCAGAGTGTGGACTGGATGGAGCCGGAAGTTCACAGTTGCCCTCGCGAAAGGAGCTATCACATTAGCCTGAACAGAAAAGAACAAGAACAACATTGACATAGAATACACAATGAAATTGCAGCAACTCTTCACTGACTATACACACAAGGCAATGCAAACTCTGGGACATGCAAAACAAGATTTGTTCCAACCTGTGACTTATTTTGGATCGTGAAGTCACTGTAGTCCCAGTGGACCATTGGGCTGCTTTTCATCAGAAAGAGTTGACTGGTGGTGGTTTAACCTGAGGTACACCATGACTTAGGCGAGGGAAGGGGTTGAACAGTCCTGGTAACCTCAGCCAGCGTAGGAATTGAACCTGTGCTGTTGGCATCACTCTACATTAGAAACCAGCCACCCAACCAACTGAGCTAACTGCACTAAATAGGACAGTGTAAGTGAGTGAAAATAACATTATTGCTCTGGTGGTCAGGAGTTGAAGCCTATTTGTCCCACACTGACACTGTTGCTTACGCAGTTGGTTAAACAGTCAGACTGAGAGTCAGTTTCACTGTAGTTGCTGGGACATGCTCTTCAGCAGGTGTGTATAATGGGATACAAAACTGCCTCATGTAAACAGAAATTGCTAAATTCCTAACTAACTGTTTGTGTCCCTATGATGCTGAAAATCTTTCCCTTTCAAACATTGATCCAATTCCCTTTTGAAAAGTATGATTGAATCTGGCAGTGTAATCCAGATCATAACTAATCAGGGTAGAAAACAATTTTCCCTCATGGTCCCTTTTGTTCTTTTGCCAATGGTTTTAAATCAGTGTTTCTCTGGTTCATGATCCTTTTACCAATGAATATAGTTTCTCCCTATCTACTCTGTCCACACCCTCTCAATATTTTGAACACTTTCTGAAGTATTCCCCTAACTTTCACCTCTGCAAGGACAGCACCCTCAGCTTCTCCAGTCTATGTAACTTAAGATCCCATCCCTGGAAATGTTCTCCAATCTTTTTGCATGTGCTCTGAAGACGTACATCCTTTCTAATCTGCTGTGTCCAGAAGTAGACACAATATTCCTGTGTTTTTAATGAAGAGCCGCAATCAGTGAGGCTAAAAAGTGAACAAGGATGAGACAGAAATTTTACTTTCACTCATTTGCAGGATGCAGGTACCACTGGCAATGATTTCTTGCCTATCCCTAATTTCCTAGAGGGCAGTTAAGAGTCAACTACGCTACTGTAGTTCTGAGTCATTTGTAGGTCAGAACAGGTAAAGGACACTAGTGCACCAGACCAGATTTTACAACAGTTATAGAGTCATACAGTGCAGAAAAAGGTCTCATTTAGCTAACTTTTAATAAATGCAAATTTCATCATCTGCTGTGGTGGGACTTGAACCTTTATCCCCAAAACATTAACCTGGGTTTACTGGTATACTATTCCAGTGACATTACCACTGCACTATTACCAGAGAAAAACCATATGAAAAAGCAAGATGAAAGGGGGCCAAATGAGAGACAAATTGAAAAAGAGGGAGAGACACACACACAAAGAGAAAGCACAAGAGTGAAAGAAAGTGCTGACATAAATTTAGCGTGTTGACTCAAAGCTGATGACAGCTGCATGTTTGAACAAATCCCTTTATGGAAGCCCAAAACAACAGAAAGATCAGCAGGTGGAGTATTGTCACTCACCTATGACACACCAAAGCTTATCTATCAGCCTGGTTTTGAAACAAGTCTTTATTTAAACAGCTTGCAATATTGTTGGTTGGATGAATGGTAATTAATTGGGTATCTCAATCTGATCTTGCTGCACTGCTGCTTGCTTCAAATCCAGGAGAGGCTTTAGATTCAGGGATGCAAATTGCTCATAGATTTTCTCATTTCTGTAAACAAAAATTTCTAGGCTAACAATGCTGGTGATTGGGATCTCCTACAGAACATTATGTTCCCCTGATGCCAATGGTTACATTTCACATTGTTAGCAAATGTTTCCGAAAACATTCAACACATATCTGTTTGCAATACTGAACTTAGCAGTGACTCAAAGGGATTAAAAATGTAGGAGGAGGAACAGTTATTGAGTCAGTGTTCTTCCTGTAAGTTAAGAGAAGATACCAATCTCACCTTAATTTTTTAAATACTAATTTTATCACTATCGGGGTAAATTAAAATCTCTTCTAAGATCGTCAAATCTCTAGAACTGTACCACAGTCTTATATCTTCAAAGGCAAACTACAGATGCTGCAAAACCAATATACGTGCAGAATATGCTGGAAATACTGACCTAATTTGTATTTGTATTTTCTGTCTCTGCTTTTGAACACTGCAGTAATCAATCCTGGACAGTAATTAAAACAAAATGCATTCTCGACTATTCATCCAGAATGGAAAGAGGCCATTCAGCCTATCAAGTCTGCACCGACCCTCTGAAAAGCATCCCACCATATCCCCATGACCCCCTATTTACCATGGCTAACCTACCTATCTTTGGACTGGGGGAGGAAGTGGAGCACCCAGTGGAAACCCACAGGGAGAATGTGCAAACTCCACACAGACTGGAACTGAACTCAGGTCCCTCGTGCTGTGAGGCAGCAGTTCGAACCACTGTGCCACCATGCCACCCTATTCTGTGGGTCTATAGAGAGAGGAGATTCTGTCCCCATGCTGGAAAACAGGAGCCTTTATTAATATCATATACTTATGTGGGTAGAGAGAGCATTCATAGAACACTGCAGGCTTAACCCTGGGTCCCAGGGCGTCTCCACCTCTACAGGCATCACTGAGGATGTAGATACTTCCTAATCTATCCGTTCAGAGATGTCATTATGCATTTCTGGAATAGATGAGACTTGAAGCCAGGCCCCCTGGCTCAGAGGTAGGGACACTACCATCACCAATGATGTATGGTTTTCATTAGCTATTATCCTGCAGGGGGCTCACACAATGAAGATAGAAACATAGCATATAGCAGCAGGAGTAGGCTATTTGGCTCTTCAAGGCTGCTCTGCCATTCAACATGAGCATGGCTGATCATTCACCTCAGTATCCTGTTCCTACTTTCCTCCCATATCTTTTGATTCCTTTAGCTTTAAGAGCTACATCAAACTCCTCCTTGAAAACATTAAATCACTTTCTGTGACAGAGATTTGCACAGACTCACCACTCCCTGGGTGAAGAAATTCCTCCTCATCTCAGTCCTAAAAGGGACTACTCCCTGGTCATTGAGAACGTCCTTCCTGCATCTACCCTGTCTAATCCTGTTAGAATTTTATAGACTTCTATGAGAAGTCACCTCATTCTTCTAAATTCTTGTGATTATAGTCCTAACCGTTCCATTATCTCCCCGAATATCAGTCCCAGGGATCAGTCTGGTAAACCTTTGGCAGCATTCCCTCTATAGTCAGAACATCCTTCCACAGATAAGGAGATAATCTACATGCATTTCTCTAGGTGTGGTCTCACTAAGGCCCTGTATAATTGCAGTAAGACATCCCAGTTCCTGTACTCAAATCCCTTTGCTACAAAGGCCTATATACCATTTGTCTTTTTCAGTGCCTGCTGCACCTTGCCTACTTTTAGTAACCGGTGCACGAGGACACACAGGTCATATTGCAGCTCTCCCTTTCCCAGTCTTTTCTTCTCCTTTATTGATGGCTATTGCACATCCCTAATTGCCCATCCCAGACAGCAGTTAAGAGCCAACCACATTGCTGTGGGTCTGGAGTCACATGTACACCAGAACAGGTAAGGATGGCAGTTTCCTTCCCTAAAGGACATTAGTGAACCAGATGGGTTTTTCGGACAATCGGCAATGATTGACCAATCATGGTCTTAATTCCAGATTTTTATTGAATTCAAATTCTGCCATCTGCTGTGGCGGGATTTGAACCGGGTCCCAGAAATGTTACCTGATAATGGATTCATGGTCATCATTAGACTCTTAATTCCAGATATTTAAAAAAAAAACAAATTCAAATTCCACAATCTGTCATGGCAGGCTTTGAGCCCAGAACATTATCTGGGTCTTGGGATTAACAGGCTAGTGATAATACCACTAGGCCATCACCACCCCAGTCTATTGTCACTTCGATAATAATCCACTTGCCTACTTTTGCTACTAAAATGCATAATCTCACATTTATCCACATTACACTCCATCTGCTGTGTATTTGCCCACTAACTTATCCAAATAACACTGAAGGCTCTCTGCATCATCCTCACAGCTCACCTTGCCACACAACTAGGCATACTCTGAGAACTACATCTGACTTCCAACTGAATTCTGTCAGGCCTGTCTTTGGCGACCCTCCTACGCAAACAGCTACAGACTGTGTCATTAATTTAATCTGACACTTGCCCTCAGGTTTGCAAACTTTCCTGTCAGGGTATGGTTTCCTGTTGGAGTTGGGTGGGAGGGGGTTGGGGGTGCAGAGTTCAGTGACCCAAGGTTGACTGTCAGCTTAGTCTCCTCATACCTGACACAACTGGCAGGAGAAGCCTGCAGGGGGAAGACAAGGACCCGACGTAACAGTCGACATGGCAACAGTAAAAGTAAAGCCTTGAATAAAAAGAAAATGGACTTTCCTTTTCAATCCCCAGTTGTCGTGCAGATTTTCAGGTCTGCCCCACCATTCAGTAAAATCATGGCTGATCTACCTAAAGCTTCAGCTCTTCTTTCATGCCAGTTCCTGTTGGGATGTGAGTTTTCAATGGTAAAACTAGCAGTCAGGGTCAATGGAGATAGAAAAAAATGCCTTGAAGTTAGTCGGTGGTGCTACATTGATCAGGCTTTAAATTATTTTATTCCTACTTCTTGTATGAGGGATGGGATCTCCCTTCAGACAGGAACCAGTCCAACTCTCCTTTGAAGATACACAGTGACAACACTCACCAGATTATTCATGGAATTAAGTAGGAGGCCAGGGTTCAAGTCCCACTTGCTCCAGAGGTGTGGAACAACATTGCTGAACCAGTTGATTAGAAAAATAGATTAAATAAACTCCAGGGGAGTTACCCATACTGTATCCTATAAATTTCACTGATAGGTTTATTGAGCAGTTTGCATTTCATCCCCTACATTATGTTTGCAGGAATTTATCCAGGACAAGCAAGCTCATGAGAATCTGTAAGGCTGTAATTGACAATGATCTCAACCAGATTAATGATTAAAAGTCTAGGTTTGCCCAGGGTGCTCATGTGTGGGTATCTGGTGTGTGAAAGTGATTGATCGATGGGGTGGATGTTCCACTTGCTCTTTCTTGGCCATTAAGAGAATCATGGGACATGGGAAAAGGGTAGGAATGTGGAGTCAAGGTAGACGATGTCACCTGATCTGAATTCCATTCACCTTGTAAACATTCACTGCCTCCATCATTGGAGTCAGTGGCAGAGGCCCATGCCAGCTATGGGGGGCTTGCAGTGCAGCAACTCATCAAGCTCCTTTAACAATACATTCCAAAGCTAGGCCTCAGAAGTGCAAGCAAAGGCTACAGGATACCATCATCTGTTCGTTCTCCTCCAAGTCACATATTAGCCTGGTTTGGAAATATATCACTGTTTCTTCACTGTCACTGTGCCAGGAACTTGGACATCCCTTCCTAGCAGGACTGTGGGTGTATCAACACCACCAGATGGACTGCAGTGGTTCAAGAAGGCACTCATTTCTACCTTCTCAGGGCACTTAGCAATGGGCAGTAACTGCTGGCTTTACCATTGAAAACTCACATCCCAGTAGGAACTGGCATGAAAGAAGAGCTGAAGCCTCAGGTAGATCAGCCACAATTTTACTGAATGGTGGGGCAGACTTGAAAGGCCGAATGGCCTCTTGCTATTTATTATGTTATTATTTATTACAAGGATAGGTCACAAACAATGTTCGCTGTAAGCTGCATGGCTGCACTGGGAAGCTCCATGCTTGATGATCGTTGCTGATGAATAGTCTCCACTCCTAGAAGTTTTTGCCACACACAGAAGATAGGGCATGGTGCCAAATATCTTGGCGTATTTTCAGGATCAGAATTGTTTGCATTGGTTAGGAGCACTGTCTATTTTTGATCATGGAAACTGCCTGGAAGAGAGGGTGGGGAGGTGGAAGGCACCTAGTCATACAGAGCCTGGTGGCCTTTATTGTAATTATTGCTAAATGGGCTACAGGTGGACCAACAACAACTTCTCAATAGTGACAAGTGGGCAATAATGCTGGCCTATCCAGTGACGCCCACATCCCGCGAACAAATAAATAAATAAAATCGATTGACACTAAATGTCTCATCTTCCCCTGTCCCCAGGATTGCTGGATGCCATGGGCAAACTGGTGTCCTTTCAAACAAATGTTGCAATTGGAAACTTGGAATTACAATAAACCTTTGTGCAATGGTGTGAATGATTATCCAGTCAAAAACGCTTGCATTGGATAATGCCGGATGTGGCGTTGGTGGAGGAGGAGTATGGGAGTGGAAAGTGAATTCCAGACAGTTTGAATCAAACTTAACCTGGGGAATTGTCAAAATCTGGGCTGCTATGTGGCCAAAGGTGCAAGGTTCCAGTAGGTACCAAGTTTTTTGGGAAACATACTCCAACCCATTGAGCAATGGGTGAGAGATGCAAATCAATTCAAATCTTCAAAATGACATCAAATTTAGAAATTGTTCTGCGGACAGTCAATATGTTACAAATACCCACCCACTGATAATAATAACTTGATGTGGAGAGAAAACAGGAATGTGGCACTGGGATAGAGGATCAGCCATGATCATACTGAATGCTGGAGCAGATGCTACGGGTCCAATGGCCTACTCTTGCACCACATTTCTGCGCGCTATCAAATCTCACCATCTTTTTCTGCTCTCAACGGATATTTCTTAAATAATTTATTGCAGTTCGCTCAAATCCTCTGGTCATTATAGTTGAGAGTTGGCAAATTCTTCAGAAAAATCAAAATCATCTTAAATGACTGATTTGACTCATGATAACACTTGCTCTTTAAAGCTGCATTATAAAGGAAGATGACGGCCGAATGGTATTATTGCTGGACTGTTAATCCAGAGACCCAAGTTCAAATCCCACCATGGCAGATGACAGAATTTGAATTCAATAAAAATCTGGAATTAAGAGTCTGATGATGACCACGGTTGGTCAATCGTTGCCAATTGTTGGAAAAACCCATCTGGTTCAGTAATGTCCTTCAGGGAAGGAAACTGCCATCCTTACGTGGTCTGGCCTACATATGATTCCAGACCAATAGCAATGGTTGACTCTTAACTGCCCTCTGGGATGGGTAATTGATGTTGGCGGAGCCAGTGATGCCCAAATCCCATGAATGAATAAAAAGAATCCTACTTGGGGATGGGTGTGGTAATGTCAATGGGCTATTAACCTAGAGGTCCCCAAGCCTAATGTTCTGGGAGCATGGGTTCAAATCCCACTAGGGTAGCTGGTGAACTTGAGTTACATTAGTAAATCTGCTACTGAAAGCTAATCTTAGTAACATTGATCATGAAACTATCATTTGTTGACTGTTATTTTCTGAAGAAGAGCCTTTGGACTCAAACCATTAACTGTTTCTCTTTCCACAAATGCTGCCTAATTGGGGTCACTCATTCTTTTCAGGGAAGGGAACCTGTCATCTTGCTTCAGAGATTTGTAGAATCCCTACAGTGTGGGAGCAGGCCATTCAGCCCATCATGTCCACACTGACCCTCCAAAGAGCAGCCCACCCAGACCCGGGCCACTACCCTATCCCTGGCCATTCCACCTAACGTGCACATCTTGGACTGTGGGAGGAAACTGGAGCATCCAGAGAAAACCCACACCAACACAGAGAGAATGTGCAAACGACACAGACAGTCGTCCAAGGGTGGGATTGATCTTGGGTCGCTGGCACTGTGAGGCAGAACTACGAATCACTGAATCACCATGCTGCTCTGGCATGCAAATGGCCCCAGACCCACAGCAATGTGGTTTACTCTTAATTGCCCTCTGAAATGGTCTAGTGACTCAGGTTGGGGGCAGGTACGTTGGGAAATGAATGCTGGTCTTGCCAGTTATATTCACATCCCACACTTTAAAAAAGATGACAAAAGCCAAACACAGTTGAGAACAAGTATGATAAAATACTGAAGTACACTTTTCAAAAGAAAGCTCCTACCTTGTGAAATTAAATTGTTAATTTTTTTTTTTACCTTAATCCCAGCATGAAACTCTGTAACTGCAGTGGTGGTACGGACAATAGTGTTTGTACTTTGTTTCTTCTCCATCATTCTGGTACATGGAGGAATAAAGAGAAAAAGGGTTTATTTATAGCTTTTTGTTTCACGTGCTTCAGCTGTCCCAATTTAACAGGAAAAGGCATTCTGCAGGATGTTCTGTGGCACCTCATAGGAATGTAAAAGATTGTAACATGGTTAAATTATTCAACCCCTTGAGTATGTTCTGACGTTTAATAAGATCATGTCTCAACTTTTATACCAGCTCCACTTTACTGTTTTATCCTCATTCCCCTTGATTCCCTTAATATCCAAACACTAATCCTCCCTGTATTGAAATTGTCCAACCACCGATCATCCCATGGTTGTCTGGAGTAAAATACTCCAGAGAATTCCAAACATGTGCAACTTTCCGGCTTGTACGTTTTTATGATCACAGGTCAGGACATGGTGATGCGGCCACAATCAAATTGATTTATTCGGAGCATATAAAATTCCTGAGGGATTTTGACAGGGCGGATGTTTTGGGAGAAGCTTGAACATAGGGGCCACTGTTTAAAAATAATTTAAGACAGATGTTGATAATTTGTTTTGTTGCGAATCTTTGGATCTCTCTTCTTCAGAAGGTGATGGGAACAGTCTTTGAGTACTTTTAGGGCCAAGGTAGTTATAGAGTATTGACCAGCAAAAGGGGTGAAAGCTTTTTGGAGGCTGTGGTATGTGGAATTTGGAATATAAATCAGCTTAGTGTGATCTAATTGAATGGTGGAGCAGGCATGAAGGGCCTAGTGGCCTACATTTCCTTCCAATCCCAATGTTCTAATGCATGCTTCGAGTGAAGAAATTTGTCCTCAGCAAGACACCTCATCCATGGGGCAACTAGGCTCCCTTGGAATCCTACACATTTCAGTGGAATGTTTCTAAGCACCAGAACTATCGGCTCATTCTACTCAACATCTCTTCAGAGGACAACCCTCTCATCCCAGAATCTTAGCAAAAATCCCTTCAGGGGCATCTGCCTCCCACGTGACCATGAGCCTCCTATCAGAAGCGGCAGTAGCATCAGAACAACACTCACATCCCAGTCCAAGGCTCACACAATCTGTCAACCTGGATGTTTGTCACTGTTCCTTTATTGCTATTGGACTAACCTCTTGGAACTCACCATTGTTTAAATGGTGATATTTTGGGAAATGCAGATGTACAAAGGGATCTGGGTGTTCTTGTACGCCAGACAATGATTAGTGAGTTTACAGATGATACAAAGATTGGGCTAGCTGCAGATAGTGAGGAGGATTGTCAGAGCTTACAGCAGGATATTGAGAGGCTGGAGACTTTGGTAGAGAACTGGCAGATGGAATTTAATCCAGATAAATATGAGGTGATATATTTTGGAAGGTCTAATGCAGGAGGGCAGTGTACAGTAAATGACTGAACCCTTAGAAGTATTAATATACAGAGAGATTTCAGAGTTCCCTGAAACAGGCAGCACAAGTAGATAAGGTGGTTTCATTTTTTGGGGCATAAAGTGTAAAAAATTGACAAGTCATGTTGCAGTTGTATAGCCATGATGTGGAGGTGCTGGTGCTAAACTAGGGTGAGCAAAGTCAGAAGTTACATGACACCAGCTCATAGTCCAACAGGTTTATTTGAAATCACAAGCTTTCGGTGTGCAGCAGAGATTCACTGGGCTGGCAGGACTGGCATTTGAGGGAAGATGGGTTCATGTGGGCCTGTTTAGAAGAGTGAGAATGGATTTGTTTGAAATGTATAAAATTCTAACAGGGCTGCACAGATGCAGAGGGGATATTTTCCCTGGTTGGGAAGTCTACAGCAGGGGGCACAGTCTCAGGATGCAGAGTAGGTCATTTAGGACTGAGATGAGGAAACATTTCTTCACTCAACAGGGTGGTCAATGTGTTGAATTTTCTCCCACAGAAAGCTATGGAAGCCAGATCGCTGAGATATTTAAGAAAGAGATTGATATCAAAGGCATCAATGGTTATAGAGAGAAAGGGGAAAATGGGGTTGAGAAAGCCATGATCATGATGAATAATGGAGCAGGCTCAAAGTGCTGAATGACCTACTCCAGCTCCTAATTTCTGTTATTTTTCCAGCAACAACGATTGCAGGGGTTCAAATTGCTGGCTGGGGAGATGATTAAAGTTTCAACGTCAAGGTGGGAAATCCACTTGTGGTCAGGTGGCCAGCAGCAGAAATGGCTACAAGACTAGTTAAGAGCTACAATCAAGCATGCTGGGAACTTTGGTCAAGCTAGTTTATCCTCTGACCTGGGTTAAAACTGCAGTCAGGACATGTTGGGACCTGTCCTGTAAGCTGTGACCTGCAGTTTCCTGTGTTGACCGAAGAAAAGAGGTGTTATAGTGATTTGACTGGTACCATTATCACTTTGTATGGAGAACAGTAGTGACTGCTTGTAACTCTGGGAGTTGTTTCCTAGTTAACTCCATTGGCTGGGATCGAACATTGTGATCAGGTTTCAGTCAATTTATTGGCTGAGTGCCAGAAAAGTTTCTGGAAGGTTGAGCACGCTTTGGGACAAAGTTAATTTTCCTTCGCGACCACTCGAGACCCATATTCGTGATATAGGTGTCCTGAAATGACGGCGAGAGAGATAAAGAACCATGAGGCAAAAATCTACAGTGGGAGCAAAAGTTGTCCTGCTTCACTTGAATCGGGGTGGTATTTGTTTCAAGCCAAACTTTTAGGGTTAGAGTTATATGTGAATCAAATTAAAGCAACGTTGAATGAAGTGAGTTGAAGTTAGATGAAGAAAGAAGTAAATATTGCAACCAATACATTTTGTATTGATACCTGTAGAGTTAAACAAAGCATTTGTGTTTAATTAAATTCCGAATCGACTCCCTGTCTTTTGTCTGTCACATATGGGAAGAACACCCAGGAGAAGGTTGAAGTACTCTTTTGGGTAACACACTGATTGGTTTCTGCTATCGCAGTGCAGGTGGCTACGATACCACCAGGAAGAAGCTCGCTTTGTGGGTGATGGTCTGACCTGGAAAGGCTCTGTATCCAGAAACTCATTAATCATTTGAACAAGATCAATTGATGGATTCAAGAGGGCACTGGATGATTTGCCTAAAAATAACGAATAAGGAAGGGTATGGGGTGAAAAAGCAGGAAATTGGCGTTGTAATGAGCTAGTGCTCATTGGGTTGAATGGCCTCCTTCTGCACCAGAACAATTCTATGATAAACTTTCAACAGAACCAGCACTGTTAGATCGTGATTATGATGGCTTTCAGTTTGTCCCATCCACAAAGGACTGAATCATTGGAAAACAGAATAGTAAAACATTGAAAGAAATTGATTTATTATCAGTGAGGCTTGTTATAAACTTTGAAACAGTGAGGGAACACTTCCCTGTTTTTCATTGCTCCAATCTTGATGGCTTGGCCTTTAGTTAGCCCCCAAGCATCTATAGTTCACACTTTAAACTTCGCCATCTCCCAACCTCTCTCTCCTTTTCGATCCTTCTTTAAAATCTAATGCTTTAACTGAGCTTTGGGTCACCCGTCTTAATATCTGTTTATGTGTTTCTGTTAAAGATTTCTTGATGTGCTCCTGCAGAGTGGCTCTTGCAACATTAATGCAAGTACTGTTTCAGGGCTGTGTGTGTATCTGTCTGCGTGTATTTGTCTATGCCTGTGTGTATCTATCTGTGTCTGTGTCCTTGTATGTGACTCCAAAGTTGCAAAACAGTGCGGTTTGCAATTTTTTTGAAGTTAACTGTCAAGACAAAAACATATAAAAGGCACTCAAATTCATGCAAATGGAATAGATTAATAAGTAGAAATTTAACAGCATTTTTGATGCAGGTAGTGGAAATATATGAGAAAAGAATAGAAGCTTGTGTTGATAGGGTTAGATAGCATTGTTCAAAGGGACACTGTTGTGAAGTGTAAAACTGACCGTGAATCGATAGTCATAATGTTTAAAAGACATTTAGATAAGTACATGAATAAGAAATGTTTGCAGGGATATGGGCTAAGCGTAGGCAGGTGGGACTAGTTTAGTTTGGGATTGTGGTCAGCATGGACCATTTGGACTGAAGGGTCTGTTTCTGTGCTGTATGAATTTATGACAGAGCCAATTGGCTGATTATTGCTTTCCTTCTTTGCGCTGCTCCCATTTTGTTTGGGATGGTTGATCACCTTTCTCAGTCTCTTCCTGTCAACCACTCATTCCTTTCTCAATCCCACAGCATTCAAATCTCTCACCACTGCATCCTTTCATTACTCTGGTCTTCCTCTTCTAACTACTTGGCCACCCATCTCCATCACTTGACATACTACATGTCCTCTCTCTTTCTCTCTCTCTCTCTCTCTCCCCCCTCCCCGTAGCAGGTGACTATAACCATTTCAACCTCTCCTCAGACACTTCATTCAATGCTCCCACAATTTACATTGACCTCCTGAGTTGCAGGTTCCTGGTTTTGTCTTTTCTCAAAACTCCACACATTCCCCATCTTGGAGTCTGAATTGCATCGTTTTCCAGTTGCTGTTTGTACACATCTTCTTGAAATTGCTCCTGTTTCTGCGCTACAGAGCAAGGCCTGTTTCTCCATTGTACACTTTGGGCAAATAATCTGGTCATCCCTGCCTTCAGACTTTTTTAATGGACATTTTTTGATACATATTTGGAGCAGGTGGGATTTAGATCCAGACCTCCTAGCTTAGAGACAGGAACACTGCCACTGCACCACAAGACCCTAACTCAATCATTAAATGTACAGAGTAATTAGTGTCATTTTGGTCATTACCTACCTGCTAACAATCGGAGAAAACAGCCACAGGTTGGCCATGACCATGTTCAGAGGAAAGTGGAGCTGCAAGATAGGAAAGGAAGACATTTAAGATGACAAAAATTCCCAGTGTTAGTAGAGTTTATTGTTCCATCTGTCCTTGTGCACTAGCACATAACTGCCCCTGGCACTAACACACGAACCTTGTACTTTCCCCCGCATACAGCCACAGATTCACACTTGCGGAGCTCCTTCGATGTAATAAAACATCTGAAGGCACTCGCCCGTTTGCACAATGTTTGTTTATTTGCAGGTTTTCATGATTATGTGAAATGGTAAAGTCACCATAATCCCAGAGAACCATGGGGCTGCCCTCTCATTAGAGTGACACAACTGGTCAGTTTCGCTGGAGATCACCAGCTGGTGACTTTACCTGGTTTTTTAGGTATGCTAGGTGCTGCTCCTGGCTTGATGGTAATGGTTGAGCCGGGGATATGCTGGGCCATGAGGTTACAGATTGTATTGGAGTACAATTCTGCTGCTGTTGATGGCCCACAGTGCCCCATGGATGCCCAGTGTCGAGTTGCTAGATCTGTTCAAAGTCTGTCCTATTTAGCACGGTGATTGTGTCACACCAACACGATGGAGGGTATCCTCAATTTGAAGGCGTGACTTTGTCTCCACAAAGACTGTTTGGATCAGATATGCATGTAAAGATGAGAAATGGTTGGGCGATCATGAAGGAGCTGCTTCTGCACTGCAACACTCAATGGCAGTTATCTGGGAGAATGGAAGTGAAGAATGAGGATGGAAGTGTGCTGGGAGACTGTGTGTATGGCTACTAGCTGCCTTGCTCTTGGCTTTAAAAATTGGGAAACCCTAACAGTTATCACAGCATTGGCTGTTTACACCGAATGTTACAGCTTCCCTGCACAATGTAGCATTCTAAATTCACGCAATCAAACAAGCTAAATTTTGCTGTTGGAACAATAGCTATGAAGAAAAATGAAAACCATCTGTACCACACTCCCATCGTCATCACAGTAACATCGTCAGCAACTAAATGACCATATCTTGCACTCGGTGTTTTTGTCATTAGTGCTGGCCATTGTATGAAATGAGAATTGGTTTCAATGTGTCAGGGATGAAGATTTTAACAATGAGAGAGAATGTTAATTGCCACCCTTTGATACTTAATGACATTGCTATTGATGTTCTCCACCATCAACATCCTGGGGTGCACCATTGACCAGGAACTTAACCAGATCAGTGCCATTAAGCCCATGGTTTCTAGAGCTCGTAAGAGCTGAGTTTTCTTCAATCAGAGAGTCACTTTTTGACTCCCCAATGTCTCTCCATGACCAACAATGCACAAGTCAAGACTGTAATGGGGTACTCTCCAGTTCTCTGGCTAGCTGCGGTTTCAACAACACCTGAAAGCTTGACACTTCAAGACAAAGCTTGATTGACACCTAATCCACTGATTCAACCTTTTACTCTATCCACCAACGGCACACCATAGCTGCAATGCATACTGTCTACAAAGATATGCTACAGCAACTTGCCATGGCTCCTTCGAAAACATCAATAAAACCTGTGACCCGTCCTACCTGGAAGGACAAGGAAAGTAATTGCTTTCCACTCTCCACACTCCCCTTCAATTCACACACCAGTCTGGCTTGGAGATATACCTTTCATTGCTGCAAGATTAAGATGGTGAAACTTCATTGTGAACAGCAGTTTGGGAACGTCCCCACCACCGTCTTTGTAGGAAAATTAGTCATGAGCAATCTCTCACTGGTAACATTTACATCTCAAAAACAAAAGTAATGCATGGTTTAAAAGCTAGGGTCATGGTTACACAAGTGTAGTGAAATTTGGCAGCATGCATTGTGACTGCACATGACGCGTAATGTGTTTTCAACACTCATTCTTTGGATCACAGCTTCCAGATCTAGGTTTCATATCCCTATTTGAAAAGCAAACCACTAGAATGCCTTTAGAACCTTACACCCTCGTTCAGCTGAAAGGCACCTGGTATTTCACAGTCAGAGCCAATTATTGGCCATCAAGGAGCTAGGAAAGACTCTTGCAAGAAAATAAATGAAGTAGCTCCACAGAGCCTGTATCCCATCACCAAGTCACCATTTATTCACACACAAACAGTCCTTGACTTTAGTACTACCTCATACAGAGTCGCGTACCAGAGTGTCATTATCTCTGACACTCACCCTTTTCATGTGTCAGCCAGGGCTCCCTCATTGGACCAGATTAACAGCCCCAATTAGGGAACTCATATTCTATAATGTCCAGCTGGCTGACCTTGCTCCAATCACTACAACAGAAGTCCAAGCAAAATGTGTTTAGTAATTAACTAATTTCAATCTTAATTTAGCTTGAAGCAATGAAGCTCATTAAATTCAGTGTCCCATGCTGCAAACAGGGAGAGTTTGGAATGACTCCATATGGTACAGCTGGGTCATGACCTCAAGCCAGATTGAGAACCATTCTGGAGCTGTCAAGCCTCCTAGAAACCATATCACAAGGCTGGGAAATTGATATGCCTGCTATACAATGTTGAGGGTTTCCTTCCTTGCTCCTTGAGTGACCTCTTAGTCTGATGTGAAGTTGTCGCCCACCTTGTTTTGTCTGCCACACTCTGGACCCTCCCAATTGATAATGTCACACTCATCAGCAAGAGGGGGAGGGGGGCCTGAATGCCACTAAAGATAAATTAATATTTCAAAACTCCACTCACCCAATCATGGGGGATGGTAACCTGAACATTCCTGCTGGGACTGTGGCGAATGGATGATGAGAAAAAGTCAGAATCATTGAAGGTCAAAATAATCACAAGTTGGTAATTATTTAGAAATGCTTGTAACTCAATCTACTAAAATATAAAATGTATAACTGAAGATTTTGTTTATATAATTAGAGTTGTACAATCAGAGATCTACAGCACGCAAAAAGGCCTCTTGGCCCACTGAGTCCATGGCTGGTAAAAAACAACCACCTAACTATTCTAATCCCATTTTCTAGCACTTGTCCCATAGTCTTGGTATGCCTTGGCATTGTAAGTGCACATCTAAATATTTCTCAAATGTTATGACAGATTCTGCCTCTACCACCCTTACAGGCAGTGAGTTCCAGATCCCCATCACCCTCCAAGTGAAACGTTTTCCTCATCTCCTTTAAACCTCCCACCCTTTCTTTTAAATCTATGCCCCCTGGTCATTGATGCCTCCTCCAAACAAAAGGTAAAGGTACATCTAATGTGTAAAATCAAACATAGAGCAGAATAAGTTGTGTTTCATTGAACAGACGGTGTGGCACTCCACTGAAATGTCCGCTGAGATTACTTACAAAAGGCTCTAGAATAGATTTTAAGAACTCACAACTACTAGACTTACAGTGAGAATGTGGCCACTCAGCCACCACTGATATGATAGACTTGATGAGCTAAATGCACCTTAAAAAAGAACGGAGGGTCCTTGGAGTGAATGCCCATAATTCTTGAAGGTGGCTAGAGAGGCTTGGAATTCTATTCCCAAGGGAGCAGAGGAGGCTGGATCACTGTGTATTTACGAGACTGAGTTAGACATATTTTTGAGTGACAAGTAAGCCAAGGACAGCCATTAAACACCGTTGGACTGCAGGTAATGAAAGGGAAAGACCTTCTGTTATTCTAAGTGCTGCCAGCCAGGCTCTATTGAAAGGAAGCAGGATTAGAGAATTTCAATCAACAAGGCTACGAATTATGAAATTGGCCGTTCAATTACCAACTTCAGTAACATTCATTGTTTTACTGCCCACTCTTCATGAATGGCTCAGAGACTGATCTTTGTTTTAAACTTGGTCTTTTTCTTCCGACTCACCCCTTATTCCTAATCTGTGTGTATGTTGCGTTATTATTTCTTCTCGTGGTTAGTAACAAATAAACTCATCCTTTTGTTAACTAAAGGGAGCCTGCTTCAGTTGGTTCCATTTAAAGCATGCATTCATTTGATGTGAGAGAAAGGTATCCCAAACGTTTTAAATTAACCTTGATACAACCAATCAAAAGAGTGGATGAATGAAGAAGGGGAGCCAGTGCACCACCCTCACCCAGGGTCTTAATGATTTGGGGTGTCCTGTCTGCAAACTGTAACAAACTGGGGAAACTTGCCCCAGGACTGACCATAACAATAGCTCTTTGTCAGCCATAGTGGAGACAATGGGTCAAATGGCTTCCTTTCCTGCAGTAAATGTCTATGATTCTAATTTCATATTTCACTAAATATATCTGCATCATTTATTTCCAGGCCATACTTAGTTTCTAGTTACAAGGTCTGCACATACCGGGCTGAAAAACCTACCTAACCGACTATTACTGATCACTAATGCAACAGAGTTTACATAACTATTTCTTATAACTATTCATTAAAAAAGTGGATTGTATGGATACAGACAGCATTTGGTGCCCAGATGTAAGTAGCATATTTCCGTAAAAGAAAAAAAAACAATTTCATTAAAACACGAAGGGTGCAGTTCATGGAAGTACTACTCTTGATCTTCATGTAACCCAGTTTGAAACATATATGTACTGCGAACTTAAACTCAACAGTAATGCAGGAAGCATTTTTCAGAAATTTGCAACATATGAGTTTTCAGAAAAATAAGAACGAACAGACAGAAAGTTCAGCAACTTAATCCTGAAACACTGCATTGAATTTCATCTTGTTTCTGTTGGTCATTTTATTCTAATGCAAACCAGCTGATTCCTCATGCAGCTGCATAGTGCAACAATGAAAGGATTTTTTTTTCAGAAGGGAGTTCTACGTACTGTGCTTCAAAACTGCAAATAGCTCTGATCTTTCATTGCATGACTGAAGTATAAAATCTATGATGCTGAGAGTCAGAATCAAGGCAAACATTATGGACGAGAAGAAAACTACCATTGGAATTTCTATGACAACAAGGTGCAGGGCTGGACGAACACAGCAGGCCAAGCAGCATCATAGGAGCAGAAAGGCTGACGTTTCGGGCCTAGACCCTTCTGTGGTATTTTGTGGATGTTATTTGAATGCTTGGTGGAAAAGTCAGCCATTGAAAAAATACCACTTTCCTTCCCTGACTTTCAAAATTGTGATCGAGATTAGAAGATATTCTGTTGAAATTCCAGCCCACATTAGTATGTGAGCAGAAACCACATCAACAGTGTTTTTTTTTCTCTTTTTATAGCACAGATAAAGTAATTTGTAGACAAATAGAAACAAATCATTGCAGATATTCAACAGGTCTGGCAGCCTCTGTGGAGAGAAGGCAGAATTAACGTATACAGACCTAACAATTCTCCAGCAATTTGTGTTTTAGTTTCTTCTTTTATTCATTCATGGGATGAGGGCATCACCAGCTAGGCCAGCATTTATTGCCTATCCCTAATTGCCTGATGGCAGTAAAGAGTCAACCAAAGAGTCACATGCATTTCAGACTAGGTAAACACAGCAGTTTCCTTCCCTAAAGGACATTAGTGAGACGAATTGGTTTTTCTGACAATCAACAATGGATTAATGATCATCATTAGACTCTTAATTCCAGATTTTTATTGAATTCAAATTCTGTTATGGTGAGATTTGAACCTGGGTCCCCAGGGTCAGCGGGATTAACTCGGGTCATTAGCTGGGTCTCTGGATTAACAATCCACTAAGGCTGTCACTGCCTCTTTCCAGCATCCACTTTTTGTTGTATTATATTAGTGTAGACAAATAGGTTGGGAAAGTAGTGGTAATGGTAGTGGACATAAGTGCCAATGTTGGCCATTGGGCCCATCAAGTCTGTTCTGCCTTTCTATGAAATCTTGACTGATCTGATAATCTTCAACTCTGCTTTCTTGCCTTTTCCCCGTAACCCTACAAATTAAAAATCCACAAGCTTAAATGAAGAAAAAATCTGCAGAAAGTTGTAACACAAAGGGGCTTGGGGTACTTCTGCGTGAAACATGGAAAGCTAGCACACAGGCGCAGCAGGTATTCAGGAAGGTTAACAAAATATTGGCCCTTATTTCAACGATTTGGAATACAAGAGTAGCAAATCTTAATGCAACTGTACAAGGTGCTGGTGAGATCACGGAGATAGCAAGAACTGCAGGTGCTGGAGTCAGAGTCAATACAGTGTGGAGCTGGAGGAACACAGCAAATCAGGCAGCATCAGAGAAGCAGGAAAGTCAATGTTTTGGGTTTGCACCTTCATCAGGACTGGGGAGGGGGAAGGGAGCTCAGAAATAAATGAGGGGGTGGGGCTGGGGGAAGGTAGGTGTGATGGCAATAGGTGGATGCAGGTAGGGGGTAGTGGAGATTGGTCAGTGGGAAAGGTGGGGCGGACAGGTGAGAAAGAAGATAGAGAGGTTTTGTCAGGTCAAGGAGGCGGGAATGAGAGGGAGGGTTGGACATGGGATAAGGCTGGGGATGGGGAGATTTTGAGATCACATCTGGTCCCTTATTTAAGGAAAGATATTTCATTGGAGGCAGTTCAGAGAAGTTTCATAAGGATGATCGCTGGTATGGAGAATTGTCTTACCAGCAAAGGCTAAACAGTTTGTGATTCTACTCACTGGTGTTAAGAAGAATGAGGTGATCTCAGTGAAACATGCAGGATTCTTAAGGCACTCGACAGGGTAAATGCTGAGAGGATTTTTCCCGATGGGACTAGGACCGGACGGCATAGATTTGGGATAAAAGAATACCAATTTCAGACTGAGATGAGGAAGAATTTCTTCTCAGAGACAACGTCAGAAATCACACGACAACGGGTTATAGTCCAAAAGGTTTATTTGAAAACACAAGCTTTCGGAACCTCACTCCTTCTTCTGGTGGTAGTGAGAGAGGTAACATCAGACACAGAATTTATAAGTAAAAGATCAAAGAGTCACACCACTGATGAGGATGAATTAAACAAACCTAAGATGCTGTTAAATCTTTAATCAGTTAGAAGGTTTTAATTGATTAATATGTATACGTAAATCTCTGAATTCTTTTCAAGTCACTGCCCTGACAGAACTAAAGGTTTTCTGTGTAAAGAAGAGGTGACATTTTAGGTCAGGCAATGCATGTTAGGTGTGAGGCCTTGTTTAGAATCTGTTTGTGTTTGGGTTTGGAGTCAGACTGGTTTTATTGCTAAAGTACACACGCACACGCACACACACATACATACACACACAAACATGAATCTATGGGGTGAAATTGTATTTGCAGGTACATTCAAAATGCACACAATTTATTATAGACAGTCAGCCAATGTGGTATTTTATAAATTCCTACTTTAGCAATAAAAACACTTAGGTTTGTTTAATACAACCTCATCAGTGGTGTGACCGTTTGAACTTTCTAAATTCTGTGTCTGACACTAACTCTCTCACTAACACTGAAGGAGGAGTGTGGCTCTGAAAGCTTGTGTTTTCAAATAAACCTGTTGGACTATAAGCTGGTGTCGTGGGATTTCTGACCTTGCCCACCCCCGTCCAACACCGGCACCTCCACATCATTTTCTCAGAGAGTTGAGAGTCTTTGGAACTCCTTGGTACAGAGAGCTGTGGGGGCAGAGTTCTTGTGTATATTTAAGGTTGAGATAGATTCTTGATCAATCTTGGAATCAAGGGTTACAGGGAAAGGACAGGGAAGTGGACATGAGGAATGTCGGATCAGCCATGATCCTATTGAATGGCAGAGCAAGCTCAAGAGGCTGAGTGACCTATTGTTTTTCCTATTTCTTACGGTCTTAAGCTTGTGGCAACTGAGCCTTTGCTTTATTTTTGTCTTCATCTCTACGATGGCATGAATGAAGTCAGAAGCTCACCCTGTGAGGAAGTTGTCCAGAAGATATCGCTTTAAGATATCCCTTTAAAACAAAGGCCAACTTTACATTACCTTGCCCATTACACACTTAATTTGTATGAGTCACAAAAAGCTAGCATTCACCAGGACCCTTACATTCCTCTATGCTGCAGCTCTCTGCAGTCTTTCGCCATTTAAATAATATTCCATTTCTCTATTCTTCACACTAAAGTGCATAACCTCACGTTTTCCAACATTATATTCCACCTGCCTATTTTTTGCTCACTTGCTTAATCAGTCCATATTTGCCTGTGTCATCTGCAAACCTGGTGATAGTACATTCACTTCTCTCATCCAAGTCATTAATAGATATTTCAAATAATTGTGGCCCAGTACTGATCCCTGTGGCACTCCACTAGTTAAAGCAGTCATCCTGGAAATGCTCCCGTTATCATAACTCTTTCTTCTACTGTATTAGCCAATCCTCTGTCCATGCTGATATATTATATCCAACACCACATGCTCCTATGTTATTAAGTAGCCTAATGTGTGGTACCTTATAGAAAGCCTTCTGAAATTCCAAATATATACCAACTGCTTCCTCCTTATCCATCCTGCTCAAAGAATTCTAATAAGGTTGTCAGGCAGGATTCAGTCCAAAACTAAATTATCAAGTTTATTTACTAGTTAAGTATTTACAAATGATGCTAGAAACTAACATCCTGATTTTCACAATAAGTCACGCTATACAAAACAACATAGGATCAAAAATCTTTTGACTGCACCTCCAAATATATATTATATGGACAATGATATAACAGATTTGTTCGGCTGCCTTAGGCCAGTTACCGGCTATCAAAACAGGATTGAGATTTCTGGGGGAGAACCCATACATAGCAATATGTAGAATATGTAGCATAGATGCTGGCCATTTGGGTTCACTGTTTAATGTTGGTGTTGATAAACTACATGAGCATCCTTTCACTCCAGCTATCTGACTCAGCCTAATTGCAGAGCTAAGCACAGGTAAGGCAGTCTGACAAATCTAACATGCAACAACTAGTATTTGGACCAAAGCACAAAGTTCACCTGTGAGAATTAGTTATTGGCTTTTATCAAGTTACTGCAATAGGTCAAACAGTGGTAACTTCAAGATAATGGTGCCTCGATCTGCAAACATCAGGACAAATGATGGTATCTGCTGTAATTCCTCTTGTGAAAACAAAAAGAAAATAAAAAATCACCTCCTAAAAATGCAGCTCCTTGACAACTGTATTTAAATTACATTGTCAATTGAAATAAACACGGAAGTGTTCCTGTTTGAAGCACAATAGAATTGTCCCTCTATCACACATGATCAACATTTCCTGCAGAGAAAATCATACCTGAGGACTCAGATGTTCAAACAATCCACGTTCTGGTCCTTGCCCAAACATTCTGGGCATTGGGTTCTTTTCCAGTCTAGAAATACAGAAAAATAGGTTTAGGCATTATTACAAAGTGCCATTATAATTATTGGTGGACCTTTTGCTTCTTAGAATGTCCCATGGCTCAAAATCTTTGGTCTTGTAATTCTGAATACAGAAGGTCTGTTGGTCATTGGTCAATTTTTCTTTAATTCAATTGTTGGGGTGTCCAAGCGTTTACCACTAATTACATTGTTGTCTTATTCAATGCAGGGTCTTAAGCATTGAGTAAAATTAAATCTTGGGTTAGCTATGTACATTTTATGGACTTTGTTGGAGTTTTTGCGATGCGTTTGAGCCGTGCTTCAAAGACTAGTGGCTTCCAAGCCAGGAAACTGCAGGCTCAAAGCTCAGTGCAGGGTTGAAGTCTGAAAGTCAAGGCTGACACGATAGTGCAATACAGAAGGGATGTTGCGCAGTCATAAGAGCTGTCTTTTGGATCTGATTTTAAATCACAACGCTTTCCACAATCCTAAGATCTAAAAGATCCCGTGGCAGTGTTTGGAAGAGTGTAGAGGACATTTCCCCCATATCCTTAGCCCAGAATCAATTCTACAGAAACAGATTTTCTCATCATTGACACATTGCCGTTTGTGGGGAGCTTGCAGTGTACAATTTGGCCACTGAGTTTCCTGCATTGCTATGGTAACAACATTTCAAAAGTATTTGATTTGCTTGGAATGCTTCAGACATTCTGTAGTTGTGAATGATGCTGTACACACCAACCATTTCTTTTTGCCATTCAAACGGTGGGCGACTTGTAGTATTGTTTGTGTAATAATACTGTAGATCCAAAATGCAATTTGAGTAAATAAGTTAATGAGTGTGTGAACGGTGCCAAATTCCGTCACCACCCACATCTATACAATGATGTAAGAGAAGGTAGGTAATGTGTCTTTCACGGCACTAATATATCACGACCAACAAAGTAGCTAAATAGCAGACAGAAACTCCAAGATAAAAGACTTCTTTCCCCATTCAATGAATTTAAGCAATGAGCAAAGACTGTGACTTGTGTTTGGGTGGTAAAGTTGTCTTTTGTTACTTCAATGCAGACTCTTTCTTTCTTCCCATGAGCAGGCTTTCATTTCCTTTCTGTCCTTTGATTCTCAGATGTGGGTTCTCCCCACTGTTGGGTTGTGGGCATCTGTTTATTTTCAATGCTGTGTATCATAGGCAACATCAAGCAGAGCAAATGATTCGAGCGATTCCAACATGAATACTTCCTAATTGACTCAAAGCTGGTCATGCAAGATAGATTGACCCAGGAATATAGGTGGGCAGGAGGCGAGCTGAGTGACTCTGGGTGCATTTGAAAGATTGCCAAAACGTATGTGGAAAAAGACAACACTTACATTTACATCACACCTACAGAGTTACTGGGCATTCCAAAGTGCTTTATAGCTAATGGAGAGTTTATAAAGTGTTGACACTATTGTCAGGGAGAAATGTGGTCAGCAATTTATGCACAGCAAGCTCCCACAAGCAGCAATGTGGAAATGACCAGATAATACATTTTTGTGACATTCAGAGAAGGGTAAGTATGAACCAAGACACTTATAACTAACTCCCTTATCCTCTTCAAAACTGTCATGTTAGTTTCTACATCCACCTGTAAGAGCAGATAAGAACACAAGAATTAGGTGTAGGCCATTCAGCCCCTCGAACCTGCTCTGTCACTCAAAACAATCATGGCTAATCTTATTTGGACCTCAACTCCACTTTCTTGCCTGTGTCCCATAACTCTATAATTCATCTCTCCTTAAAAATTTGAGTAAATTTAAGGAGGGGACAGACAATGTTCCAGCATCCACCTCACTCTGTGGTACTGAATTCACGAACTTTTGAGAGAAGTTTTAAAATTGCTACCCCTAGCCTGTAACTATAACCTCTTGTTCTAGATCGTCCCATATGAGGAAACATCCTCTCTACATCGCCCTTGTCAATCCCTTCAGCATATCATATCTCATTCTTCTAAACTCCAGAGAGTATATGCTTAAACTGCTCAGTCTGTCTTCATAAGATATCTCTGGAATTAATTTTGTGAACCATCTCTGAGCTGCTTCTAACACAACGACATCCCTCCTCAAGTAAGGGGATCAAATTAGGACAAAATCCCATTGTCAAACTGATTATCTTTTCTGCCCACATAAGTTCACTTATGTTCAGTTTTCCATTTAACCTGGGACTGATGTGTGGAAATGATGCATTTCTAAAAAGCTGTTTTTTCATCTTTGCTTGAAGTCCTACTGCTGGGGTTTCCATCTGAGGAAGGTAATTGCAATAAAAACAGGACAGAGGGTCACACCTATCCACAAGGATAGGAAAGGAATTGTAAAAAGGGAGAAACATGCTGTGCTCTGCGCATCTGGGTTACGAGAGGAGACATGACAGAGGGCTGAGTGCAGGAGGACAACTTAAAAATTATAAAACTATATATTTTAAGTAAAAACTGAAAGAACTGTGCATACTGGAATCAGAAACAAAAATGGATGTCACCAGACCTGGTGAGCTTTTCCAGCAATTTCAGTTTTTGTTACATATTTTAAGTTTTTGTTTATTATTTCAGGGAATGTAGGTATCAATGGCTGGGCCAGCATTTACAGTCCATCCATAACTCCCTGTGCAAGTTAACAGCTCACTGTTACCTTAAACGGGGAAAATAAAGAGAAAGAGCGACAAAAACAGAGAGAGATCAAAGGTATAGGCAAACAAAGAGAGAGAGATGCTGAGAGAGATATAAATGCTGGTAATAAATGGGAAGTGTAAGTGGTTGAAACGGGGTTGGCTGTGCAGGGAGCAACCCAGGCAAGACAAGACCTCGAGGTGTGATGGTGGTGGGGAGTAATAACTGACACAGAGAAGGCTGGGCACGTTCTAAAATTGTTAAACTCAATTGTTATTTTGAAATTGTCAAGTTGTTAAACGTCATCCAAGCATCCAGTCCTGTCAGAATTTTATGCATCTCAATAAGATTCCCCCTCTTCTAAACTCTTGACAGGTCTGGACAGATGTGAGCCTTGTGGAAAGTGGTAGTCAGAGGTTAGAAAGTGAGCGAATTGGATGCTGGAGAAATCGAGCTTAGGAGTGACCAACATATGCTTTCGGGATTTTTGCAATTTAAGTCAAAGAGATGATAAACTGCATTGAGACCAAAAAGAAATAGTTCAAGAGATTAAGGTGCCTTGAGAACAGTCTTCATTTAAAACATCAATCATTCTCCTCTTACTATGAACAGAGGGAGCTGAATGTGTCCAGAAAAACCATTGGCATCTGAAGAAGAAAGATAACAAGGTGTAGAGCTGGATGAACACAGCAGGCCAAGCAGCATCAGAGGAGCAGGATCCT